AACACGAGGAAGAACTTCTTCCCTCTGAGGGTGACGGAGCCCTGGAACAGGCTGCCCAGGGAGGGTGTGGAGTCTCCTTCTCTGGAGATATTCCAGCCCCGCCTGGCCGCGGTGCTGTGCCCCCTGCTCTGGGTGACCCTGCTTGGGCAGAGGGTTGGGCTGGGTGACCCACAGAGTTCTCTTCCAACCCCTGCCATCCTGTGAGTCTGTGATACATGTTTTGTGATCTGAGATCAAAAGTTTCAAAGGAGGAGGAAAGGGAAGACAGAAGAAATGAAGAGTGTGGTACAGATGACGAGGCTAAAACCACCATGTCTGCAGAAAGGAAAATGGTAGCCGTGACTGCCGAGCTACCCAAAGCCGTGACTCCAGAAGGCTGCTTTCCTCCACTGACATCTCCTTTGCTTTCTGCAGCAGCAGCCACCACACCTGCCAGGCACACCTACGACACGCTCTGAGGAAGGTTTAGGTATGTATGGTTTTCAGCACGCTGAGGCACGAGGAATCAACACAGAACGTGGGGTGGCCCAAGAAACCTGGGCAAGACGGCGTCTATCTAACATTTTTAGAAGGGTCAGGTCTCCCTAGCAGCTTCTGCTCTGTGGGAATGGCTGAGGCAGCGAAGTGCTGCTTGGAGCGGAAAAGCGCTGTGTGGCCACGCGCTGATCCGCTCGGAGCTCCGACACGTCTTGGCTTTTGATACGGATACCTGTCAGCTGCGCCGGGCTTTCACAGGAGAGCGAGACGACAAATGACATCGCTAGCCTCAGCGAAACTGTCCTATGTACTCTGCTGCATTTAGCTGCTTTAAAGACTGTACTGAAAACACAACTTTCTCCCAGACATTTTTGAGCCTTGTCTTTTGTCTTGTTCTTGATGGATCCTGACTTGTTCTGGGCAACAGAAGACCACCTGTACTTACAGGATTTACAGAACAGCATTCATACCTGAAATAGGATATCTGGTATCTTTTCTCGATAGCTTTAAAACTGGATCCAACAGTTTGCTTCACGAGGAGAACAGCTGTCATGGACCCACACCCAACAAGGTACCAGCTGCAGATTTCTCAGACGTTACTGTATTTTCAGCCTCTAAGCTATCAACACTTGGAAACTCTGACATTTGCACAAGCTGAACTAATGCCACAGTCAAAAAAAAAGAGCGGGCAGGGAGGCACTGAGCTTACATGGGACGGTCTCACTCTGGTGCCTGAGGCTAAGCCAGAAATGGGGACTTTTAACATCCCACTGCGGCCAACCGCCCGCCTGATGCCCCGCGGAGCCGTTCGCCACCACTCGGGAAGATACCCGGCACGTGCTTACGGGCAGCCAGAACACTGTTAACTGCAGCAGTGCTCTCTGTAATAAAATGCATGTTGACCCATGACAACTCTCCATGTCGTTAGCCTTGTATTCCCTTACGACACCGGGAACCCGCCTCTGACACTCCTAAGCACCTCCACACACCGTCCCCAGACACCTCATCGTCCAAGGTGTGCAGCAGGAGACACCAAGCTCTCCACAGGTGCTGGTGGGATGTCTTTGTCACCAAGGTTAACCTAATCTGAGCTTCTGTTTATAAAAAGCAGCAATACCTTTAAGATAAACTGATTGGCACTGTCAGGCTGAACTCAGAAGAAACCAAGCCTATTAGGGCAGGGGTTCCACAGGAATTCTCTCCCTTCCTTACCAGTACCAGGAGAAGAAATGCAACAGGCATCCATGTAGCAGACAACTCTTACCTGGGATGCCAGACACTGAAGAGACTCCATAACACAGTGACTCCACGGTGCTGGCGTTTCATTCACTTCCCCACAAGACTACCACCTTTATTCAATTTTACTACATACATATAATTTATCTTCCCATTTCTTGCTTTAAATGCCCCTCTCACAAATGAGAATAAGTATTTCCACAGATCACATCTGTTGCTTACCATCTGCAGCAGTACAGCGCGATGCCAGTTCCCAGAGGACCAATCCCATGGCATACATATCTATTCTCAAAAACGCATCCCTTTGGAAGTTTATAGCACCTTCTAGTACCTCAGGGGCCATATACCTTCGTGTGCCAACCTTGAAAGAGAGGAAAAGCATAAAAATCTGTACACCAAGCATGAACATGACCACAATTACCACCCCAGCTGGTGCCCATTGTAACAGTACTGCAGACCAGCAGCACTTTTTGTCAAAGATTAAAACCAGCCACGGTTATCCTTGCCTAGAGCTAACTTTTGGAAGTTTCTTGTATTCTTCTATCCAATAGTAGGTAAGAGGAATTAGGAACAGTCGTATAAACTGGGCCCTATAAAGGACGTTTACAAAGCAGGAAACTCTGAATATATTTTTAAATAACACATTTGCATAACAATTCATCATATCTGTCACCGTCATTCCTCAATTTTATCTGTGGTAGATGTCCCTGCTCATGGCAGGGGTTGGACTATATGACCTTTAAAGGTCCCTTCCAACCCAAACCGTTCTGTGATTCTATGATTTTCTTCCACATTACAGGAAGGCCACTATTCTTCTTTTCTCGTGTTGTAAGGATGTGACGCATGCTTATGTTTCTCCCCATGACAGGGGCAGTAACAAAAATCCCAAAGGCAAACTAGCTACCAAAGCACAGTTTACACTGAGAAAGTTATATGAAATTACTGCACAGAACTGCCCGTTGAATGAAAACTTTGGGGATACCCATTCTTTTTGACCACAGTCAACGATGAAATTATGTCATCTGAATAAATCAGGACTTCGACAATGTCTGAACAAGATCTACTCCATTATTTAAACCCTCACAGTGATAGCTATGTCCCTCTTAAGTTGCTGAGGTTTTATAATCTTCTTGTAAGGATTTTATTTTTGTCATTCAACCACAAACTATGAAGTTATGCCTAAAATTAAATATATTTAGTTTTCCAAAAGTCGCAATGCTCTAAGCTCAAGCTTGTTATTCTGGAAGCACACGGTACTAAATCAGCTCCCCGTTGTATGACAAACGCTGGATTTGTACTGCTGCCATTTCAGGAGAGTGACTGTTGCTAGGTCAGAAAGCTGGGAAGTGGCTGCCAGTGTAACTCCTC